CTCTCTCTCTCTCTCTCTCTCTCTCTCTCTCTCTCTCTCTCTCTCTCTCTCTCTCTCTCTCTCTCTCTCTCTTTCTCTCTTGCTCCTTCCCTCCTTCCCTCCCTCCCTCTTTCTCTCTGTCCCTCTCCTTCTCCCTCCCTCTCTCTTTCTGTCTCTCTCTGTCTCTCTCTGCCTCTCTCATCTCTCATTTGTCTCTATCTCTATCTCTATCTCTATCTCTATCTCTATCTCTATCTCTATCTCTATCTCTATCTCTATCTCTATCTCTATCTCTATCTCTATCTCTATCTCTATCTCTATCTCTATCTCTATCTCTATCTCTATCTCTACACACACACACACACGGAAGGATGAGTTAGAAGTCCACAGTTGGAGGTATTATATTTTGACCACTTTCTAACAAAATATAAATATGTGCAGTTGTGGGATTCCACCACAGAGAAACATCTCTCTCTTAGTTACAATAATTGCATGTATCCTTCCTCTGACTGAAGCAGGAAGAACAGCCATCAATCCAGTGGGCATACCCTGATTTCACTATCATTTTAGCAAAATGATGGCACTCAAGATTTCTGTAGTTATAGCTAACTGAGCCAACCTTATCACTTAAGGACATGTCATCACCACCATCCATTGCTGTTCCCCACAATTTGAGGAACGTGAATCAGTTCTCAGTCAAAGACGTATAACCCTTAAGAGCAGAACACACACACACACACACACACACACACACACACACACACACACATATATACACATATATATACCTGGTGGTCCCTGATCCCCTTTCATGCCATCCCGTCCATCTCTTCCAGGCAGCCCATTAGCTCCTGGGGTCCCTGGGATTCCTGGAACTCCTGAACAGTTGGCCTCCTGCCCATGACACGGTTGGTAAAAAATAGCCACTATGGATGCCACGTAAAAAAACGTCAATAATGTCATTTCTGCTTAGCTGAAAAAAAAGAAAAGAAAAAGAATGTGCATTAACATTTTTCAGCATTGCTGGACAAGAGACACCCATCGTATGACACATTCCAAACTGTAATGATAACATTTCAAATGCTGTGTTCAGCCACTCAAAGTTGCTTGTTCCCATTATGTTTACCTGACCCAGCAACAAAACAATGTGCCATAGAATTCAGCAGAACAAAGAACAGAGTAGAGTAGAGTAGAGTAGAGTAGGGCATTGTAGGATAGGGTAGGATAGAGTAGGGTAGGGCAGGGTAGGGTAGAATAGAATAGAATAGAATAGAATAGAATAGAATAGAATAGAATAGAATAGAATAGAATAGAATAGAATAGAGCTGGAAGGGACCTTGGAGGTCTTCTAGTCCAACTCCCTGCTCCGGTAGGAAACCCTATACCATTTCAGACAAATGGCTGTCCAGTCTCTTCTTAAAAACTTCCAGTGATGGAGCATTCACCGCTTCTGGAAGCAGATTGTTCCACTGATTAATTGTTCTGTCAGAAAATTTCTAGATTGCTTCTCTTCTTGATTAGTTTCCCATCTGTTGCTTCTCGTCCTGTCCTCAATGGATGGAAACTAATCAAAGAGAGAAGCATTCTAGAAAGTTCCTAATATATTGGAAGACTGCTATCATGTCACCCCTAGTTCTTCTTTTCATTAAACTTGTTGTTGTTGTTAATTGCGAAGTCGTGTCCAACCCATTGCAACCCCATGGACAACGTTCCTCCAGGTCTTCCTGTCCTCTACCATCTTCCTGTCCTCTACCATCTTTCATTAAACTAGACTTATGCAATTCCAGCAACCGTTCTTTATACGTTTTAGCCTCCAGTCACCTAATCAGGAAAATAAAGATGGCCAGGCAAAATGTAACGGATTATCTCCAAAACCCAAAAGAATAAGACTGGCAGCTACATGCAAATTGAAATCACTCTGATTTCCAAGGTCAACTTACCATTCTTTGCCGAGGTGATATGAAGGAATGGTTTTGAAAGCATCTGATTTATACTGCATTTACGATTGGGAAACAGCAAGCTTAAGTGGACATCTGGTATGTGCTTGTAAAATGCAAGAGAAGCTAGAGACGGGTGAAGTTGATTTACTTGGCAAATATTTGAAATAGGGTGAAAAACCCCTCATGAGGACAAAATTACATATTGTGAAAGTGCAGATCAAATTTCTTCTCCAAGTGGATTATTTCCTGCTATATAGTGGTATCTTGGTACTCATCATTAATTAATTCCCGGAGGTGCGATGAGTATCAAAAATGATGAGTACCAAAGATTTCCCCCCCCCCCCGTAAGGAATAATGTAGTGAGTCATAAGGCAGCCGACACAGACAAGGTCTAGTTTCAATGGAGGAGAATATTTGTAGCTCAGGGTTGACATGAGGGGCCCTTGGTGGTCTCTGAGCTTGGTTGTTTTCTTGCAGATGTTTCATTACCCTAGAGAGTCATTCGGGCCTGCACCTGTGTTCAACAGTGAAGGGATACAGGGCAGAAAACATCCTGTAGCCAAGAAGGCTCCACACACATTTGCACGTCTCAGGTGACCCTGAGGACACAGGCAAACCTCCAGGTGGCTTCAACGGCTCTCTAAAAGAATGCAAATGACCAGCTGTCTGCAAGGAGTATAAATCCTTCCATTCCCCACCAGTCCAGTCAGGGCTGAAGAAGCTTCTTGGATGAGAAGCGAAATGTCTTCAAAGAAAAAACAAGAAAGTCCAGTTGCCTCCTGAAAAAGCACCTTTGAGACAGATTGGACAGTCATTTTCCAGAATGATCTAGGGTCTCATGCCTCAATTAAAGGGTTTGATTAGAAGACCTCTGAGGTTCCTTCCAGAAATGTCAGGTTCTATCTAGACCTCTTCCTTACTTTAGCAGTTTTCTAATTGAAGAGAGCATTGCTCCATGAAAACTAAGGTGATATACTCTTTCATATCACGAAGAAGTAGACCACATTTTAATTCTGATGATTTTTTTTCCAGAGAAGCTTTCCTTCACATACGGAAGATGTGCTGGGAATCCAGAAGGTCCCAACACATATTGAATATATGAAGTTACAAAGATTGCTTTAGGGGAGGGGAAAAAAACCCACAACAGTGTCTTGAAACCAAGGCCATTAGGGCACACTTCCAATCTTGCAACCAGAACTAAACTGAGTCAACAATGACTCTCAGAACAGCCATTATAGAAACACAAAGGCTTCATTGATCTTCTGCTTTCTTCTGTGTGATGTTTTCCTAAGGTATGTATTCTCCTTGAATAATACCAGGGAAGATTAAGAGCAGTACTTCTTTAATGTAAACATCTCTCATAATTTGAGTAGATCAAGTGGAAAACAGTAATCTTAGCTTGGCTTTGAATGAAAAGAACATTGTGTTCATTGATCCAAAGAACTGCATGTTGCTTCTGTTTATTGATTCAGGCACCACATGATCACTCAACTGCTTGGGGAACCTGTAAGGAACTATAATTTCCCCCCGAGACATTCTCCCAAATCCATTGGAACCATAGGGCTGAAAAGGACCTGGGGGGGACGTCTAGTCCAAACCCCTACCCAAGCATTGTTCCATCTTGGACAAGTGGCTGTCCAACCTTTTCTTGAAGACCTCCAGCAATGGAGCACCCACAATTAAATGAAAGAAAAAAAATAGAATCAAATCAAATTATTTAAAGTTAGCTAAATTAAAAAGTTAGAATCCCTGGCGTTCCTGAAAAAAGCTCTCCTGTTACGCAGCAAACATCTTCCACGAATCCCTGCCGAGTTTGTGGAATGGCCAATAGCTTCTTGTAAAATCCTATGATCAGTTTTATTTCAGGATCAGATCTGCTCAGATTTCATAGGCGGCCTTTGACCTTTCAAGAGCAGGATGAGAAGTAACGGAGGGAAGCTTATTGAAGAGCGAGCCAACCTCGAACTAAGGAGAAATGTCCTGACCAGGGCTTTTTTTCTCGGAGAAAAGGTGGCGGAACTCAAACCTGGCCACGCCCTCATCAAACCCTAGGACCGCCCCTTTAGAGAACAGGAATGCAAGTAAAATTTGGGAGGGGCTATTTCCGGTGTGGGAGGGGCTATTTCCGGTGCGGCCGGCCCGGAAAAAGGTGCCGGAACGCCGTTCNGCCGCGTTCCGGCTGAAAAAAAGCCCTGGTCCTGACTGTGACAACAATTGATCAAGGGAAATGGTTTACCTCCAGAAGTTATGGGTGCTCCATCACTGGAGGTTTTTAAGAAGAGATTGGACAATCATTGTTTGATGTAGGGTCCCCTGCTTGAGCAGAGGGTTGGGCTAGAAGGTCCCTTCCAACGCTATCATTCTATGTTCAATCTATATAAATAAAAATGTAAATGTTTGTTTGTTCAAAATCTTAAATCTCCGAAAGTTCTTCCCCGATTGCTTTGAAATTTTGACAGAACGTTGCATTCGAATACGTGCATGTTTCTATTATATAGATGTCACACCTGTGACAGGTAAAAACATGCTTTTTTGAAAAACAGCGCCATCTGTTGGACGTAAAAGCAACACACGCAGACTGAGCCACAGCAACGCGTGGTCGGGTACAGCTAGTATTCTATAATAGGTAACTCCGTCATTTTGGGGTGTGAAGACTATGGTGATTTTACTTGACCTGCTAGATGTTGTTGTTGTTGTTAGTTGCAAAATCGTGTCCGACCCATTGCGACCCCATGGACAATGTTCCTCCAGGTCTTCCTGTCCTCTACCATCTTCTGGAGTCCATTTAAGCTCACGCCTGCTGTTTCAGTGACTCCATCCAGCCACCTCATTCTCTGTCGTCCCCTTCTTCTTCTGCCCTCCATCTTTCCCAGCATTAGGCTCTTCTCCAGTGAGTCCTTCCTTCTCATTAGGTGGCCAAAGTACTTGAGTTTCAACTTCAGGATCTGGCCTTCTAAAGAGCAGTTGGGGTTGATCTCCTCTAGGACTGACCAGTTTGATCGCCTTGCAGTCCAGGGGACTCGCAGGAGTCTTCTCCAGCACTACAGTTCAAAGGCCTCCATTCTTTGGCACTCAGCCTTTCTTATGGTCCAACTTTCACAGCCATACATTGAATACGAGATAGTAAATGTTAAGGGAAAAAGAGAAGAAATATTTGATGTTGTAACTTGAGATTAGTACTAAAGCTTTTGTAATCGAACTATTGATTAACCCAGTCACCACATTGCTTTTTAAATACTTAAATGTAAAATTGGAAAATGAATAAAATATTATTACAAAAAAAAAAGGAAAAAGAAAGGAAAGCAGCATCGTATCCAGAATAGTCAGGATGGGAGGCAAACAGATACCACTTCCTGACTTTTTGCAGATTGGAGACATTTATTTTGAGGGTTTTTTCTTTCTTTCATCAGTGCAGACTTTGAGTCGTTGAACACGTCCGTTGTGAACGTCAAATCATTAAGGTGATGGGTTGATTCGCTCTGGAAGATCAACCACAGACCGAATCCTTGGGATTTCCCCAAAATCTCTCCCAAGAGGAAAGCACATTTGTTTGTCTTTTAGCCTGAATAATGTCTCTCTCTGTCCTCGTGCTCTTTCACAACTATTACAACAAAGCTTCCAAACTAGACGTGTGATTGATAGCGTGAAGACCCTTTCCCTTTGAGCCCACCCTCAAATGTGCCCTTTTTGTTAGGTAGCCAGGACTGAATTCTCACCTTTCCGGATATGGCACTTGGAAAAGGTCACCGCTCACCTCAGCTATAAATCACTAAGCCCCTGACATCAGTCTAAATGAAACCGAATAATCAGCTCCATTCCAGGCTAGCTTCTGGCCTGGTTGCAATTTTGGAACAACCTGAAGTTGTCAAAACTGGCACGACCAGGAGGAAGGAGCAGCAAAGAGATTAGCCCAGAGTGGTCTTCTGGATTTTTCCTGCTGCAATGTGGTAGTCCTAACTAAGGTGGAATAGAATAGAATAGAAAAGAATAGAATAGAATAGAAGAGAAGAGAAGAGAAGAGAAGAGAAGAGAACAGACATTGTAGAATAGAATAGAATAGAATAGAATTGAATAGAAGAGAAGAGAAGAGACATTGTATAGAGTAGAATAGAATAGAAGAGAAGAGAAGAGACATTGTATAGAATAGAATAGAAGAGAAGAGAAGAGAAGAGAAGAGACATTGTATAGAATAGAATAGAATAGAATAGAAGAGAATAGAATAGAAGAGAAGAGAAGAGAAGAGACATTGTAGAATAGAATAGAATAGAATAGAATAGAAGAATAGAATAGAATGGAATGGAATGGAATGGAACGGAAGAGAAGAGAAGAGAAGAGAAGAGAAAAGAAGAGAAGAAAAGAAAAGAGACATTGTATAGAATAGAATAGAATAGAAGAGAAGAGAAGAGACATTGTATAGAAGAGAAGAGAAGAGAAGAGAAGAGACATTGTATAGAATAGAATGGAATGGAATGGAAGAGAAGAGAAGAGAAGAGACATTGTATAGAATAGAATAGAATGGAATAGAATGGAATGGAATGGAATAGAAGAGAAGAGAAGAGAAGAGAAGAGAAGAGAAGAGAAGAGAAGAGACATTGTAGAATAGAATAGAATAGAATAGAATAGAATAGAATAGAATAGAATAGAATAGACCTTGGAGGTCTTCTAGTCCAGCCCCCCCCCCACTCAAGCAAGAGAACCTATACCATTTCAGACAAGTGACTGTCTAGTCTCTTCTTAAAGACTTCCACCATTTCTGAAGGCAACTTCTGTTCCACTGGTTAATTGTCCTCACTGTCAGGAAATTTCTCCTTAGTTCTAGGTTGCTTCTCCCCTTGATCAGTTTCCACCCATTGTTTCTTCTCCTGCCCTCTGGTGCTTTGGAAAATAAGTTGATCCCTTCTTCTTTGTGTCAGCCCCTCAAATACTGGAATACTGCTGTCATGTCGCCCCTGTTTCCTCTTTTCTCTAGACTAGCCAAACCCAAGTCCCGCAGCCGTTCTTTGACCATTTTAATTGCTCTTCTCTGAACTTTCGCCAAAGTCTCAACATCTTTTTTGTAGTACGGTAACCAAAATTGGTTGCAGTTCAAAACACCTGTGAAATTTGCAGCTTAAAAAAAAAAACAACAAACAAAAAAAGTCCCTCTTCTTTGTACAAATTGCCTAATCAGAGCCCCTATAAAAACTCCATTAGCACCATATGCCTGAGCTTCAATTGGTGCAAAGATTGCTAATGTATAATTAATGCAAAAGTAAATGGCGAGCAGAGACTCTTCATAAAGTTTAATGGCTGAGAAAAGAAAGCCGTCTCTAAATAATTTGTGTTATTTAAGACTTTTTTTTTTTAAAAGGATTTGTTTGTTCAGGCTGGGAAATGTTCAGTACACATCTGAGTCACGCGGATAGCTGTTTCTGAAAAATAATGCATTGTGAAGTTTATCAGGTGCTGACTCTTGTTCCCTCCCAGTGTTCTGTTGGCACTGAATGAAAAGAACAGCCTGTTGACAATACGAAATCTTTTTGTACAGTCCCCCAACAACTGTGAACAGCACGATGTGTGGCTGTTAAGTTGTTAGAAGTCTGCCGTAGCACAAGTCACAAAAGCTCAGATGATCTCGGCACGGCCTTGTCTGGCCAAGCTACGATTCAACTCATTTAAATAAAGAGAAGAGAAGAGAAGAGAAGAGAAGAGAAGAGAAGAGAAGAGAAGAGAAGAGAAGAGAAGAGAAGAGAAGAGAAGAGAAGAGAAGAGACATTGTATAGAATAGAATAGAATAGAATAGAATAGAATAGAATAGAAGAGGAGAAGAGAAGAGAAGAGAAGAGAAGAGACATTGTATAGAATAGAATGGAATGGAATGGAATGGAAGGGAAGGGAAGGGAAGGGAAGGGAAGGGAAGAGAAGAGAAGAGAAGAGAAGAGAAGAGAAGAGAAGAGAAGAGAAGAGAAGAGAAGAGAAGAGAAGAGACATTGTAGAATAGAATGGAATGGAATGGAATAGATTTGGTCTTTGATTTGGTTTGTCGCATCTTTTAACTAGGAAAGATCTATAACTCCAGCCAGTTTTATTTGTTTGAAAGTGGTTGAAAGACATAGGATATGTAGATACTTTATTATCAGCGTTATTATGAACCAATTTTTGAAAACGTGGCAATGCAACCACACATCAAGTATAAAGTATAAAAGAACAATAAACATTGCACTGCCTAAAGAAATTAGTCTTGTGCTTCCCCAACTTTTTGGGCACCAGAGACCAATTCCGTGGAGAAAAACTTTTCCACGGACTGGAGGAGGTGTGGTTTTGTGTGCTGTTTGCATCCTGCGGACGGGGCTTTGCTTGTTTGTGTGGCCCGGTTGCCGGCATGCCGTGGCCCGGTACCGGTCCACGGACCAGGGGTTGGGGACCCCTGTTATAGCAGACCCCAGAGGGCAAGGGTGTCAAACTGCCGGCCCGTGGGCTGGACACTTCACAATGAAACCACGCCCACCCCATTGCCGGCAATGGGGAAAAAGCTCTGATACGTCGCGCGACATCGCGTGACGTCGTGAGTTTGACATGTCTACCATAGGGACTCCTATCACACGATGCATAGAGAAGCGCAGGTATAATTCTGAAGGTGACCACTTCTTCTTCTTCTTGTGCCATATCCATTATCGGACGTTGGCGGTCATGTTGGCAATCCTGTTTTTATCAGCAGCCGCACGAAAAAGTGCTGCTGAGTTTTGTCCAAACCAGTCCCTTAGATTTTGAAGCCACGATGTTCTTCTTCTGCCTGGACCTCGTTTGCCTTCCATCTTTCCCTGGAGGATTAAATGGAGTATGCCGTATTTTTCTGGGTGTCGCATCACACGTCCGAAATATTCTAATTTTCGTTTTTTAATTGTTTTGATGATTTCCCTTGGCTTTCCCAGGCGGCTGATCCCCTCCTCATTTCCGATCTTTTCAACCCAGCTTCTACGTAACAGCCGCCTGTAAATCCACATTTCAAATGCTGTGACCACTAGGGGGGAGCCAAACTCTTCTCCTAAACAGGCCAGTCCTACCGTCTCAATATTTTACTGCTCTTGCCAGTGTGTGGAAGATCAGAACACTTTTTTTTTTGTCTTTGTGAGTGTGTTTGTGTTTGTGTGTATGAGTGTGACGGGTGAATCTGAATGTTGTATAAACTATGGGACGCTACTGGTACGGAAACAACGTCCAAGCCATTCTGTGCTTGTAAAGGAAGAGGAGAAATCCTTTCATAGAGTCTTTGGTTATTAATCTATCAGTGTAGGTCCCAAATTCCTATATTGTAACTGGCGCTTTAATTTTCTGAAAGAGTAAGAAGTCTACTCCTCTTAAATGCTTTGATAAGAATAAACTTTCAATCTCCCCCCCCCACAAAATTATTAATACACGTGAATAATATGACTAGACTACCAGATAGAAACAACGATTGGAAACTGATCAAGGAGAGAAGCAACCTGGAACTAAGGAGAAACTTCCTAACAGTGAGGACAATCAACCAGTGGAACAGAAGTTGCCTTCATAAGTTGTGGGTGCTCCATCAATGGAGGCTTTTAAGAAAAGTCTGGACAGGCATTTGTCGGGAATGGTATAGGGTTTCCTGCCTGGGCAGGGGGTTGGACTAGATGACCTCCAAGGTCCCTACCAACTTTATTATTATTATTATTATTATTATTATTATTATTATTATTATTATTATTATTATTATTATTATTATTATTATTATTATTATTATGGATCATCGCACAGTCAGCCAGATGTTCAGACTGGATTTGGCATTTTGTCTACCTATCGAGTCCTTTTCCAGGACCTGGGATAGGCAGATGTGGATGTTTGATGGTATTACAGATATCGTCGCAGGATGGAAGCAGTTCCTAGTAAGGCCGCCTTTTGCAATTGACAAATAGCGAATTTGTCAATGCCAATGGTGTTCAAGTGGTGCTCCAGTTGTTTTGGAATTGCACCTAAGGCGCCTATTACTATTGGTACTACTTTTGCTTGCTTTTGCCACACTCTTTCTATTTCTATTTGTAGGTCTCTGTATTATTATTATTATTATTATTATTATTATTATTATTATTATTATTATTATTATTATTATTATTATTATTATTATTATTATTATTATTATTATTATATACAGTAGTGGCCAACATTGTGGAAAACCTTTGGGAAAAGTGTACAGTAGAAATGCCACCTTTGGTTAAGTTTCCACCCATTTTTCTTCTAATTTCTTTACAACTGTAGCCTTGTTCACTTAATAAGACTATTTTACATCGCTTTCTGGGCGACCAGTCAACTCTTTGCACCATGACTTTAATTTTATTACGTTTTACAAGCTCACTCAATGAAAGAACACAAAAAACACCACAAACAACTTGATAGAGATCACATAACACACTGACAAATGTCCTCCTCTCAGCTTCAATACAGGACATCAATCACTGAATCCTACCGTGATCTGATTGGCTCATTGCCAAAACAAGATGACCCCTGATTGGCTCTCTAAACACTCACGCTCATTGGCTACCATCGGATGAAGGAAAGCTACCTGAGATCAACCTAAGCAAGTTGTGCTTCCTTTTTCTGGTTATTTGGCTAAAACGTTTCACAGAATACAGTACAGATAATTGAACAAACTTTGTTGCGTTACGTTCTTGATTAAATTATCTTTCCAGTGATATATATAATTTTATGGTACTACTCCCCCTCCCAAAAAAAGTGGTGTTATTAGCCACCAAACCTCAAAAATACCCTTTCCCCAAAAAGTTCCCACAATTTGGGCCACTAGTGTAGCTCAGAGTTCGCAAATGATGAGTGTTTGGTGATCACAGCCGATGTCATTCCACTGGGAGGTCTCAAGGAGGACCGCACAGTCTTCCTCGTTCAAGTTGTTGGGCTCTGAACTCTTCCAGTGGGTGTACCTCAACGGCTGTCCATTCAAATACACGAATTTGCCTTCCGTCTGGAGATCACTAATACCCAGGTAGATGTGCTTGCCAAGCCACTTGGTCATTGCCGTCAAGGCCGCGTTCTCAGCCGCGTTCGTGGCGACCGCCAGAGCACCGCCGGCCTGGCTGCAGAGAGCTTTCCCGTTTGCAAAGTTTTCGCTCCGACCGGTGGAAACGAAGCTCTTCCCTCCGACGGTGGTCACCCCCTGCATGGCGAAGACTAGGCTCCGGGAAATAAAAAAGAAGAAGAAATAAATCGCTGTGAAAACAAGCTTTTGGCGAATGAATAAACGCAGCTCAAGGCAAACCCTGAAGCTGCACGTTGACAGGTTTCCTTCTAACTTAGTTTAGAGCAGTGGTTCTCAACCTTTTTAATGCCGCGACCCCAACCGGTCGTAAGTCGAGGACTAAACCGGTCATAAGTTGAGGACTAAACCGGTCGTAAGTCAAGGACTACCCAACCGATCGTAAGTCGAGGACTTTCCCTGCCCGGGAGCGCCGTGCATGCGTGGTTCTGCCCCCTGCGCCGGCCGAGGCGTAGCTGGCAAGTGGCAGAGACGGAGCAGGCCAACCACCAGCTGGCCCAGCCCAAGGGAGGTAAGGCACCCGCCGGAAAAGGGGAAAAAAATGGCGGACAAAAAAAATGGCGGACAAAAAAATGGCGGACAGCCTTGCTTGGCGACCCCTGTGAAATGGTCGATCGACCCCAAATGGGGTCCCGACCCACAGGTTGAGAACCACTGGTTTAGAGATTGAGCTGGCAACCATGTCAAAATGATTTATAATGGCTTATTTCCCAGCCAAGCCTATTCTCCATGCAAGGACTAAGCAGGTCTACCAGTTAACCAGGTTTGTCACTGCCTTCTTCACTGTGGTTTATTTCCCAGCGAAGACTATTCTCCATGCAAGGACTAACCAGGTCTACCAGTTAACCAGGTTTGTCACTGCCTTCTTCACTGTGATTTATTTCCCAGCAAAGCCTATTCTCCATGGAAGGACTAACCAGGTCTACCAGTTAACCAGGTTTGTCACTGCCTTCTTCACTGTGATTTATTTCCCAGCAAAGCCTATTCTCCATGCAAGGACTAAGCAGGTCTACCAGTTAACCAAGTTTGCCACTGCCTTTACAACTGTGGTTTATTTCCCAGCAAACCCTATTTTCCATGCAAGGACTAACCAGGTCTACCAGTCAACCACGTTTGTCACTACCTTTTCCACTGTGGTTTATTTCCCAGCCAAGCCTAGTCTCCATGCAAGGACTAATCAGGTCCATCAGCTAACCAGGTTTGTCACTGCCTTCTTCAGTGTGGTTTATTTCCCAGCGAAGACTATTCTCCGTGCAAGGACTAACCAGGGCCACAAGTTCACCTTTTCCAATCCTGTAACTCAGGGGTCTGCAACCCCTCAGCCATGGACCGGTATCGGGCCGCAGCATGCCAGCAACTGGTCCACACAAACAAGCAAAACCCCATCCGTGGGATGCACACAAAACCATGCACTCTCCGGTCCACGGAAAAACCTTTCTCCAAGGAACCGGTCCCAGGTGCCCAAAAGGTTGGGAAACTCTGCTGTAACTGGATCTAGACAAATGCAACACTCAATTTTGTCCAGAAATCATTAGGGCTTAGCCAGGGATTTATGTTACCTATAGAGTTCTTAATCCTTATAGCTTTCTTGCCTTCCTTACAGAGATGTTGTTAGTTTGATTTATTTTCCCCTCCAGGAACTGGATATATATGTGTATTCTGCAAAGCACTTTGCTCATTGATTATATTCCCTGCAGGCATTCTTATTTATCTGCAGCCAGGTTTAAACATCTTGAATGCTCTTCAAGGAGTTTTTTGGGAAATTCAAAAGCATGGGGTGGATAAAGGGGGAAATATTTATGTGGCTTGAAAAGTTGTCAGGATCAATATCTAATGGAAGTTAAAAAGAATGGGCGGTGTCTTCTTGTTATTTTCTTGTTGGCGTTTCTTTTGAGATCAGCTAACACAAATAAATATTGTCACCTCAACTGGGCAAAATCACACTTACACGAATGTATGCATAACTGTATCTACGTGGAGGGAAGTAAGCAGTGGGGCACCCCAAAGCTCTGTCTTAGACCCAGTACTCTTCAACATCTTCATAAATGATTTAGATGACGGAAGAATGAAGACGACATCAAGCTGGTGGGAATAGCAAACACTCCAGAAGATAGACTTAAGATCCAGAAGGATCTCAACAGACTTGAAGTATCAGTATCGCTTTATAAAGCCTTAGGAAGACCATACTTGGAATGCTGCATCCAGTTTTGCTCACCATATTATAAAAAAGAGATAGAGACTCTGGAAAGAGTGCAGAAAAGAGCAACACAGATGGTTAGAGGACTGGAGGATAAACATACGAAGAACATTTGCAGGAATAGAATAGAATAGAATAGAACAGAACAGAACAGAACAGAACAGAACAGAATAGAATAGAATAGAATAGAATAGAATAGAATAGAATAGAATAGAATAGAATAGAATAGAATAGAATAGAACTGGAAAGGACCTTGGAGGTTTTCTAGTCCAGCCCCCTGCTCAAGCAAGAGAACCTATACCATTTCAGATAAGTGACCTTCTAGCCTCTTCTTAAAAATCTCCAGTGATGGAGCGCTCACGATTTCTGGAGGCGAGCTGTTCCCCTGGTTAATTGTCCTCACTGTTAGGAAGTTTCTCCTTAATTCCAGGTTGCTTCTCTGTTTGATTAGTTTCCAACCATTGGAATTGGGTATGTCTAGTCTAGTGAAAAGAAGGACTAGGGGTGACATGATAGCAGTGTTCCAGTATCTGAGGGGCTGCCACAAAGAAGAGGGGGTCACATTATTCTCCAAAGCACCAGAGGGCAGGACAAGAAACAATGGATGGGAAGTAATCAAAAAGAGAAGCAACCTGGAATTAAGGAGAAACTTCCTAACAGTGAGGACAATTAACCAGTGGAACAGAAGTTGCCTTCAGACATTGTGGGTGCTCCATCACTCGAGGTTTTTAAGAAAGGACTGGACAGCCACCTGTCTGAAATGGTGTAGGGTCTCCTGCTTGATCAGGGGGTTGGACTAGAAGGCCCCCAAGGTCCCTCCCAACTCTGTTATTCTGTTATTAATACTGGCCCTACCTGACAAAATAAAATTAAGTGTGGCCTTACCAAGGCCTTGTAAAGTGGTATTAACACTTCACGTGATCTCGATTCTATCCCTCTGTTAATGCACCCTAGGACTGAGTTGGCTTTTTTGGTGGCTGCAATATTACCGGCTCATATTTAAGTGATCCCTCTTTCAGTTACTGCTACAAAGCCAAACATTTGGTTTTTCTGGCCTAAATGTAGAATCTTACTTGCCTCTTCACTGAATCGAAGGGAATGAGTTGAAGGGAACAAGTAATAACGAGTGCTCATTATGACTTTCTCGGCTCCCCCCCAGATGTTGCAACACAAACGCCAACCAGCAGCTGACATGCCCACATTCTTCCTTACTTTTTTGGCTTTTGCTGAGTTGAGCTTGTAACGTCTGGACCGTCTTTTCCAAAGCAGCAACTTGCCTTTGAACGGTATCCACAGCTACAGAGGGGAAGAAAAAAAACAAAACAGAGAGAAGGAAATCTAATCAAACCCCGAAACTTCCATTTATTTTCATTCCTGCCTGCGTGGTCTTCAAGTGAGCTCCTCCTGAGACTCGGGAGAGCGCCAGACTTCATCTTTTAGAGGCTTTCGTACAATTGTGCAAGAAGTCCAAGAAGATCCAACTTTGAATGGTTAGCTAACCTATTTCAGCCACTCCCTACCCACACCCATTTTATCTGCTTAGGGCGGGGGTGTCCAACCTTCACAACTTTAAGACTTACTTGTGGACTTCCAACTCCCATGCTGGCTGGGGAATTCTGGATGTTGCAGCCCACAGGTCTTAAAGTTGCGAAGGTTGGACACCCTGGCCTATTATATCTAGACCAGAGAAATCTGTATTGCACTGTGAGAACCAAGATGTCCCCCCCACCCCAATAAATAAATAAATAACCCAATGAGAAACAGCTTATGGCAAACGAAGCCCCTATAATCGTAGCTCAATGCAAACCCCGAATGTAGGTTTTGACAGATCTAGCACTGGCTAGTGTACATATTGACAGATCTGTGTGGACTGCTGCATTTTATAAATGCAATGCTTTTATTTACTTGTCTTTGTTCATCGGGGGATAGATGTATAAAGATAAAGGAGGGCTGCTTAAAAAACACATCGTCGTTAAAATAATTTTAATACTTGTCAACGTTTAGGTTAAATAAGAGGATTTAGATAAAAATAAAGAATAAATGCTGGTTTGGGCCAAGGGTAGGCAACCTTGGCTCTTTTATGACTTGTGGACTTCAACTCCCAGAATTCCTGAGCCAGCCATGCTGAGGGGAAAGGGAGAGGTTTCCAAGCTGAACCAGGCCGGCTCAGGAATTCTGGGAGTTGAAGTCCACGAGTCATGAAGGGGCCATAGTTCCCCCATGCTGGCTCAGGAATTCTGGGAGTTGAAGTCCACGAGTCATAGAAGAGCCAAGGTTGCCTACCCCTGGCCTAGCCCAATTAGTATAAGTTACAAATTGAGAAATTGTTCCCAGTTTGACCGAGGTAGCCTGACTCTTTCTTGAATCAGGAATTCAGATCTTTGTTGAATTAGAACTGTTAAGAAATTTCCATTTGTTCTTCTAACACTTGAGACAAGGATTTCCTCCCTGCTAGAAGTTACATGAGGCGAGCGAAGCAAGAAAGACAGAACTACGGATGGACATTGCAACATGCCCCATATCCGAGCTCTTCTTGGAAATATCAGAAACTCCCCTTCCTTTTCATGCAGGCAAAACTCACCATCACTTTCCTACCTGTCATTTCTCCTTTTTGTCCCTTCTGGCCTGGGGCTCCTGCATTTCCCTTTGGTCCTGAAGGACCAGCCTTTCCGGGGACTCCTTGTTGACCCTTCATTTGGAGGCCTAGGGTTTGAGACAAAGCAGCATTGTTTGGACTCCGTTTTCCCAAGATAGCCATCTCCTTCGCCAAACCGCAGCATTTATCCATCAGACATCTCCAACTCAAAAGGATGCTTGCCGATGACAGGAGGTTTTGCTAGGCCGAAGAACCAGTTGCATCACTGGAGGTTTTCAAGAAGAGACTGGACAGCCACTTGTCTGGAATGGCATAGGATCTCCTGCTTGAGCAGGGGGCTGGACTAGAAGACCTCCAATCTCCCTTCCAGCTGTATTCTGATTCTGGTAGGCTATCGGGCACAAGCCACTGGAGCCATTCTCGGACAGCTCAAGTAAGCAACTTTATTCTAGAATTTTCCCCAGACTCTTTGCCTTCTTCCCCTGGGAATGACCACATGGACCAACTTCATGGATCTCGGGGGAGGTCACGTTTATGCCACTTACTGCTATGGAAGACTCTAAGCTAGGTCCTCACTTAACCCCTCCTTCCAGCCTAGCTGACAGTTTTCCGACATGTCAAAAAACAAAGAACTTTGTTAAAGGTTCTTTCTTTTTGTTTAAATACAGAAATAAGATTAACTACATAGTGCTATGTAACGAGCACACTGTGTACGTGTGTATGAGAGAGAAAGAAAGAGAGAGAGGGGGGGAGAGAGAGAGGGAGAGAGAGAGGGACGTAGAGAGAGAGAGAGAGAGAGAGAAAGGGAGAGGGAGGGAGAGAGAAAGATTTCAGAAATTATACCCGTGTCTCCTTTCTCTCCTTTGGCCCCATCCCTTCCATCTCTTCCCGGTAAACCAGCAAGTCCTGGGTTACCACAAGCCAACACTGTGCAGGAATTTGTATCCTGACTCCTTGTCTCCGGAGAAGCAGCCAAAGCCAGCGATGCTCCTGAGAAGAGCAGCAGCAAAGTCTTGAAAACTTGGAGGAAAAACATTGTTGATACCTTGGATCAAGAACAAAGTTAAGGAGAGATTATTTGGAGTTAGCTGGTTTGATTCATTATTTAGAGTTCAGAGACCAAAATAAAGTGCATGGGGTATCTGGATAATGTTCAAAGCTACACACACCTGTCAACCACATTCACCAAGTAGAGATGGCACGTGCGAAATAAACAAATAAACCAAGTAGCAACATCGTTGAGTAGTTTAATCAGCCATTCAACCCAGGTTCTCCAGATCTTAGGGATTCCTCTGGTTCAAGTTTCTTCTTCTTTTTTTTTATAACAAGTTTTATTAATTTTTCAATTTTTTACATCCAGGTAATTAGGAAGCAGCGTGGTGATAGGGTAAATCAATAGTCCAATAACAAAATCATCCATATGTATGTCAGGTTACGTCATTAAGATTCCCTCTCTATTACAACAGAAACTTGTGCATATTTATCGTGGTTTTTAGTATCGCCTGTTCACCGCCCTGAGTCCCGTAAGGGAGATAGGGCGGTATATAAATTTAATAAATAATAATAATAATAATAATATTTCCCTTAATTAGTCTATACATAGTTAATACATTTCTAGATAAAGCTCAATCAATCAATCAATACATTTATCAGTCAAATTTTACTTACTCATCTCCAAGTCCTCTTTTCAAGTTTTACTTAATTCCAGTTACCACGTTCCAATTTAGCCTTTAATAACCATAATAGTTAAACTTCGGCTAACCTTAACTTCCCTCACTTCATTACAATGTGGACCATAAACAAGTTAATGAAAATTAACAGTTAGATTATAGCTTTGAATTGTAATATGGAAACGGGTTTGTGACCACGAAAGACATTTTGTTAGTACATGAGGAGCTACCAGGACGAGAAATAGAATATATTTGTGAAATCAAGTAAGAACGTAATGTTCGGAAGAATATGTGTACTCTAGATACGATAATTATCTCTGGTTCAAGATTCTCATAAGAAGGAGAATAGAAGCAGAATGGCGAAGGATTTGCTGTAAACATTGACAGAGCAGAGTCTGAGTTGAATATGAAGTCAGCGTGGCTTACCAGAGTGTTTCTCGATCAGCTAAAGCAGTTTCTTCACCCTGGAAAAAGATGGACGTTGATCCAGGAGGAGTAAATTCTCTTCTCTTTTCAACAGCAGGAAAGAACACAAGAGAGAAACCCATGCAGATGTGCGTTTTATTTCACCACTGCTGTTGCTCAAGATATCGGATTGCAAAACCAATCTTTGCATAGTTCTGCTTACTGGCATGCATGCAGCCCCTTACTATAAACTTTCACCCCATTTATTTATTACAAAACCATTGTCAGTTGACAGGTCAGATCAATTTGCACAGGGCTCAGTTCCAACCAGTCCGTCCATCAATTTAGAATTGACTGACAGACTGACATTGATTGATTGATTAGGCTTATAAACCACTTCAACCCAACTCTTTGAGCAGTCCAATGGGTGGCTTAAAGATATATGTGGCTTTTAACCCTCTCCAGTTACCCAAAGTGTAAAAAAAAGGGGTCAAAATGTTGAGACTCGGAGTCCACGAAACACATGTTGCAACTCCGAGGCTGCGTTTGTTACATCCACGGCCAAACTCTTTCCTGGAAGCTCCCGGGATAAGTAAACTGTGAGAAAGCAGAGCAGAATACACATCAAAGCGGCAGATATTTTTCAGAGTCCTTCTTTAAACAATCTCAATTTATCCCAGTGAAGAGAACTTTCTCACTGTCCATGAATTAAAGTGCCTCTTTGTTTTTACCTTTTCTTCTTCTCAGGAGTAGTTTATCAATTCCTCTTGGCCTTCCCAAGGCTTAGTTGAATGAGTGCTTAACCCTGAATTATAGTTGGTTTTGTATTTCTGACCAAACATTAGTTCTTGTAAAAAGGTCTTTTTTTTTCTTTTTCGGAATTTTTATGCTTTCTTTCTTTCTTTCTTTCTTTCTTTCTTTCTTTCTTTCTTTCTTTCTTTCTTTNCCTTCCTTCCTTCCTTCATTCATTCATTCATTCATTTCATCCCCTGAGTAGCAATTCATTGCCAAAATATGATTCCATCCAAACCGAAATCCATTCACAGTTGCAAATAAATATAGATCAAATCTTTGGCTAGAATCTTCGACTAAAGCTTCAACATTTTCAAACTCTTTGAAGCTGGTGAAAACTGGTGATAGAGGGGCATAGTTGTCAATGGTTCTCTTACTTACAGTTATTAGAACGGTTTAAAGCAGAAAAAAGAATTTATGGTTTCCAACATTGTAAAACATTGAACATGAAATAGAATTGCATCGAAAGGATGAACATGTAACTGCTAAAATGTACAAATTTTTGCTGAAATTTGTAACAGAAGTGAAAGCATACAGTATATGATAAAATGGGCTAAAAACTCTGGTTAGAATATTCAGATGGAACAATATGTGGATGAAAGGATTTACATTTTCGTCATGTTGTAAACTGTAAAGAGGTGTTTTTTTTTTTTAATGATGTGACATTGGGATGGTTCACCAGACAAATTGTACAGAATGTATAAAGGCACTTCAAACATTACATTGGAAATCTGAAGAAGCACGAAGGGACATTTTGTTATGTTTAGTGAATCTGTAAAAAAAAGGTAGGAAATTCCGAATTCAAATTCAGAGGACTTTAAAGATTAATACCCAGTTGAGACCAGAAATCTTCTCCTTGGGATTGGCGGACAAACAATTGGGGAAAAAAATGTCACATAACATTGTTTTTGTATGCGATAGTTACAGTGAGATTTTTTTTTTTTAATTGAAAATTTTATAACAATTTTACAATATAACTCCCCCCCTTCCCAGAACCCACCCTTCCCCTCCTCCCTCCCTCCCCCCCACTTCCCAGAGCCAATCACAGGGTTAACAATACAGTAACCATACTCTATCTAACATTAAACAACTATTAGATTAACAGATTATTGTATATATACAAAGATGGAAAGACTTGGCATTATCCACAGTGGAGGAATGGTTGATGGCGGAACTTGCTGAGATGGCCAAAATGACTTCTTTGATCAGAGAAAAGATAATATTTATGATAATTGATTATTAGAAATCCCTTACGGACTTTTTACATAAAAAGGAAAGAAAATGAACTTATGATTTATGATTTTGACAATTAGACAAGATTATACAGCAGAAGGAAGAGAACTAGGCTGTAATTATAGAGTGAGAAGTCAATTTCTAATTATACTGAAAAGATTGGAAGCTACTTTGGAAGACAATTTCTATTACTCTTTTACATGTTTTTCCCTTTCTTGCAATTTTAGGGTTTTTTTTTTGACTGATTTCATTTACTGTACATTTTCATTTGCAGAGAACCAGAGTTGCTGAGTGGATTGGCTCAACACAAGCTGAGGACAACTGGGACTTGGTCCATTGGATCAAGCTAGCCACCTGGGCATTGAGTCACTGATTGTATTTCCATAACACCAGAGGTTGCTGGGAGGAGTGGCTTAACACAAGTTGGAGAGAACTGAGACTATGTCTGTTGGATCAAGCTAGTGGCTTGTGGGCCTAACAGCATGCGAAGCAAACAACTAAACAGGCTGAAACATATAAGGAATGGTTGCTGGAATTGGGTATGTCTAGTTTAATGAAGAGAAGGATAGCAGTGTTCCAGTATCTCAGGGGCTGCCCCAAAGAAGAGGGAGTCAAGCTGTTCTCCAAAGCTCCTGAAGGCAGGACAAGAAGCAACAGATGGAAACTAATCAAGGAGAGAAGCAACCTGGAACTGAGGAGAAACTTCCTGACAGTTAGAACAATTAACCAGCGGAACAACCTGCCTCCAGAAGCGGTGAATGCTCCAACCCTGGAAGTTTTTAAGAAGAGACTGGACAGCCATTTTTCTGAAATGGTATAGGGTTTCCTGCCTGAGCAGGGGGTTGGACTAGATGACCTCCAAGGTCCCTTCCAACTTTATTATTACTATTATTATTATTATTACATCTAAAGCAGGAAGGCTACAAGAGAATATGACCTTCTAATCAGAAGCGTGCATCTGAGCAAAAGTGCAGTCTTAAACATCAACACTTTGAAAACAGCAGAAGTTCATCCTTGGTGAGTACTTGTGTTATTGCTATTTTATTTGAGAATGTCTGGTTTGGTTCAGTGCAACACGTGTTTTGCAGCTGTTGTTTTTTTTTGTGGTTCTCTTTTTAAGTTTGGATATTTGTCCTATCTGTAAGGAGATGGCTAGTTTACATGGGCAGATTGCTGCTCTAGTGTTCTTTAGTTTGTGCTCTTCAGGCTGGTATTAGTTGGCCAACTCAGCTACTGTGTTCTGTTGAGCTGCCTCCTTCTCCTACAAACACCCCACAGGAGAAGGGCAGTGTGGACAATGGTTGGATCTGGCGGCGTCCAGCTGCGGACCATAAACATGGAGCCTTTGGTGTGTCCTTGCCCAACAGATATAGTGCCTTTGCTGAACTTGATACTATGGTGGTAGGTCCAGCTGTTTGTGATAATGATGGTGACTCAGCTGAGCAGGGCCTTGTGGTCCATGAGGAAGAAGTTGTCCTAGGTAAGAGAAGGCCTGAATCAGGTGTTGCCAATCAGCCATGGGTGGTGAGTAAGGTATCTAAAGAGAGAAGCCACCTTCTGGTTGGTGAGTCAATCGCAAGAGGTGTCGATTTAAGAAAGGAGGTGGAGATTTTGAAAGAAGTGAGGTGTCTGCCTGGTCCTTTATTGCCAGCAGAAAAAAAAAGGGTGCTTTGTTAAGATAGTCAAGAATGCTAGTAAGGACTGTGACGTTGATATCGTTGTGCATCCTGGCACTCATGACCTGTCTCAAAAAGATGTACTTTCTGTGCAGAAGGATTTCCAGAGCTTTGGACAGGAAGTTAGCAGAATAAGCTATAGACTTACTTTTTCAGAGGTTTTACCTGTCTATAGTTGGGGGGGGGGGGAAGAGAGAAAAAGCCAAAGACTAATGTAAGTTGCAAAATCATTTTATTATACTTATATAGTTGGTAAGAAATAGAAACAATTCATGCTCCTTTCCCCCCTCCTACATTTGCTTGTATCCAGCTGTTGCAAAATCTTCTGGCAGTTCTTGAGGTTTTGTTTTTTTCCCCAAGGACGTCTCATTAACACTGCATGAGAGCAGAGGTGCTTTTGACAAGCTGCATCTCTCTGAAATAAACTCTAGAGATTTATATTCTCTCAACCTTGCTTGCAGTGTTTCTCAACCTTGACAATTTTAAGGCATGTGGACTTCAACTCCCAGAATTCCACAGCCAGCAATGCTGGCTGTGGAATTCTGGGAGTTGAAGTCCACATGCCTTAAAATTGTCAAGGTTGAGAAACACTGAGCTTCCGTGAAAGTCTATTTCTGGCTCAGGGTGGTGAAGCCGAAACCGAAATAAAACTAACTTTTTCCTTGCAATCTACTGGTGAGTTACTCTACAGCTTTTTCAGGAAGAAACTCTAGCCTCACCCTACTACACAACATTGGGTGCTGTTAATTGTTTTAACTATCAGGAAGTTTCTCCTTAGTTCTAGGTTGCTTCTCTCCTTGATTAGTTTCCATCTGTTGCTTCTTGTCCTGCCTTCAGGCGCTTTGGAGAATAGCTTGACTCCCTCTTTTTTGTGGCAACCCCCTGAGATATTGGAAGACTGCTATCATGTCACCCCTGGTCCTTCTCTTCATTAGACTAGACATACCCAATTCCAGCAACTGTTCCTTATATGTTTTAGCCTCCAGTCCCCTAATCATCTTTGTTGCTCTTCTCTGCACTCTTTCTAGAGTCTCAACATCTTTTTTACATCGTGGTGACCAAAACTGGATGCAGTATTCCAAGTGTGGCCTTACCAAGGCGTTGTAAAGTGGTATTAATACTTCACGTGATCTTGATTCTATCCCTCTGTTAATGCAGCCTAGCACTGTGTTGGCCTTTTTGGCAGCTGCAGCACACTGCTGGCTCATATTTTATTAATTTTTTTTATTATAATTCATTAGTGCTTAATGAACAATGTATTGTCTGGCTTGATTTGTTTTGCTTAGTAATACAAGTTAAGTTCTCACTCTCTATCCCGTTTCTCCAGCCATTGATAAAATAGGTTCCATGTTTGAAAATATTCTGCATCTTTCTTCTTCTTCTTTGATCCTCAATGTAAGTCTATCCAAGAAATGGCTGTTTCTAACTACAGGAATTTTATTCCCTTGATTTTCATTTCCCGTTGCCTTTTTCTCAAATTTAGCTTAGACCAGGGGTAGGCAATCTTGGCTCCTTTATGACTTGTGGACTTCAACTCCCAGAATTCCTGAGCCAACATGGCTCAGCTTGGAAACCTCTCCGTTTCCCCTCAGCATGGCTGGCTCAGGAATTCTGGGAGTTGAAGTCCACGAGTCATAAAAAGGCCAAGGTTGCCTACCCCTGGCTTAGACTATTATTTTTTCATACAGTATTTTCTTGTTGGGTAAGGTAATGAAAAGCAATTTTAATTTGGGAATGGATGTAGAAATCAAGGATAAGAATGAGGAGGAGGAGGCTGATCATTAATTAAGGCTAACTAGACCCATGGATCTTCAGTGATACAATCCAAATATTTTAATTCCAACCAAACATCCCAATATTAAACCAATTTTTGGTTAACCCACCAGGCCAAACCTCCTTTACTAAGCTAGCTAGAATTTATTAGGGTTCACCTCTGACCTCTTGGGCTCACAACACAATTACTGTAATAAATTTGAAATTCAAATCCGGATCCTTTGGTGCAAAATGATATTCACTCACGGGAATATCCCTGAATTCTAGCCCTACCAAGGCTCCGAAGAATCCTTTGCGTAACTGTCCAAAGATTTCAGGGAAATATAGCAAGACTATTGTAGGACCATGTCTATTAAGCTGCCTCTCATTGTGAATAAAAAAAAATAGAGTCTCAAGCAACAGATGCTGGCAGGAAATGGGTTTATTTAGAAACGATGGGAAAATGGATCTATAATTGCTACATTTCAGTGCAAGTTTTGCTAGCTAAGCTAAGCTAGAGAAGACTTGGAAGAGGGCAGCATGTATCTGAGGATGGATCGTAAAAGCTAAGCAGCATCAAGTCTGCTTCCGACTTCTTAGGAGGACTGAGGATTCCAAGATGTTTGGTTTGAGTGTGATGCTAGAAGAAGGCAACTTCCGTTGGAATGACAAGGTTGAAGTCAACGGAGTAAAACTTGACTTCAGATCTCCTTGCTGAAAACAGGGGAAACTATTGGATTAAGACTTACTTGCTCTTTGCTAGAGACTGTCTCTGTGAAGCACAGAGTAAGCTTCCTTTTTCAACTCTGTGTTGGAATTCTTTTCTTTCCTCCAACTCAACGTCTCTTAGATTTTAAATTCACAGATGATTGACCAGCCAAGCTCACAAATTCTATTATGCCAGTACCCATCCGGGTGCATTTCCACGCATTTTTCGTAGCCAAGGTTATTCGGCTCTCCTTGAGCCCAGTTGAAAAATACTAGGGGCTGGCCATTCAGATCCTCAAACCTGTTTCCAGTTGTGCTGTAAGTGATTCCCAGAATTGCCTGTTCCTTACGCCATCCTACTATTGTTTGGAGGGCTCTGTTCTCTGCCGTGTTCCTCGGCAAGGCGAGATTGCCACCCATGTATCTGCAGCTGTTTTTGGCGGCCTGGAAATCGCCCCTAGTGTCAACTCTTTTGAAAATTTTATCATCAACAATTGCTCCGTTGGGAGCCAGGATAACTAGAAGGAGAGAGAATGGCAAAGCGTTGAAATGCCATGTTTGTTTATGTTGCAACATGCCCATGTGCCGGGATTTACATCTACGACACTTTAATGGAAAGTTTTTCAGCAAAATATAAAACACGGTCTGGGAAATAGCTCATCAAACAAGGGGCCTATGCTCCAGTGTGCAACATAACTTTTGAATTAAAAAGCAAATCTGTCATCTAATAATAATCAGCTTAGAGGCATTGCATTCCCACCAACAGTCCAAGTGCAATCTTATCTTGAATTTGTTGCTCCTTATCTACTTTGTGTTGAACTTTAGTTAATAGAATGGAGTAGAGTGGAGTGGAGTGGAGTAGGGTAGGGTAGGGTAGGGTAGGGTAGAGTAGAGTAGCAAAGTTGGAAGGGACCTTGGAGGCCTTCTAGTCCAACCCCCTGCTCAGGCAGGAAAGCTCTACCATTTCAGACAAATAGTGGTCCAATCTCTTCTTAAAAACTTCCACTGTTGGAGCATTCACAACTTCTGGAGGCAGGTTGTCCCACTGGAAGTTTTTAAGAAGAAACTAGGCAGCCATTTGTCTGAAATGGTATAGGGTTTCCTGCCTGAGCAGGGGGTTGGACTAGATGACCTCCAAGGTCCCTTCCGAGTCTGTTATTCTGTTATTCTTTTTTCCCTCCCTCCCTCCCTCCCTCCCTCCCTCCCTTCCTTCCTTCCTTCCTTCCTTCCTTCTCCAACACTGGAAGTTTTTAAGAAGAGACTGGACAGCCATTTGTCTGAAATGGTATAGGGTTTCCTGCCTGAGCAGGGGGTTGGACTAGAAGACCTCCAAGGTCCCTTCCAACTTTATTATTATTATTATTATTATTATTATTATTATTATTATTATTATTATTATTATTATTATTATTATTATTATTATTATTATTA